CCACTTGCAGGTCAGCCGCTGGTAGTCCAGACTAGCTTTCTTTTTTTCTCAATTTCATTTTAAAGCAAATGGCATTCAGTTTCTAATAAAACTCCTATTTACACACACACACACAAGCAAGTTTTTGAGGCTGAGATAGCCATCAGCCAACCGAGGACGCGACAAAACCAAGGTTAAGCACGTTTAATCCATTGATTACAGGTGGAGAATTAATCCCGTGTTTAGCTGCCTTCTATCAAAGCCAAGAAGACTTTAAAGTGTTTAACACTGAATGGATTGTGCCTTGGGCATTTTCAAATCCTTGCATCGATAAAAGCTGTTGCCAGCAAACATAATGCAAGCACGTAAAAAGAATTCAACACCCAAACCTATGCTTCTGGGTGTGCCAAAGTCTGGGTACTAGCTGCCTCCTGTTCTCTATGCATTCCCAGCAAAGGTCTTGAGATGGTGCTGGTGTAGTTTAGCTGTCTTTCTTGGGGACTTCCCTTTCCTGGCAGCCAAGAAACAGCGGTCTGTCTGAACCCATGTAGATGTATGTCTTCCTTTTGGTATTTTTGCATTTGGTTTTTGTTAATAATTTTTTCATTTTGAATTTCCCCCCCCCCCCAAAAAAAAACGGATACAGAAAGAAAAAAGGAACAGGGAAAAACACATAGGAAATATAATCACCAGAAACATAATGTAAGGGCAATTCTACAGGTATTTGGGACATTCTTTTATCATAATATGTATGTATATATAAAAAACTATATGGTATAATAGCTTGACAAACATATGATTCATATGGCATAATGGCGTAAGAATATAGCTTAAAACATATGACATATTAACTTTAAAAATCAGTATAATGACCTACTCAGTATATTCTACCATTTATAACAACCTGCTTGGTATATTGTATATTTTTTCATTTGGGTATGTGTGTGTGTGCACCTGCCTGGAAGTCACGGTGACTTCTGGCGACTCCTACTGGGCCACGGAGGACATTCGGAGAAGCGGCTTGATAGCCTGCCTCTGCCTCCCGGCCCTGGTGTTCTCTGGAGGTCTCCCATCCAAATACTTGCCAGGGTCAGCCTTGCTTCGCTTCCGAGATCTGATGAGAGATTGGGCTTGCCCGGGGCTATACAAGTGTCAGGGCTGTACGTCTTCCTTTTGAGCTTTACTGCGCAGGGAAATTACTCCTCTTTCTGACTGTCCTGTGCAAAATATATGTGAATACAACTAATAAAGTCTGTTCTTATCTGCGGCTGCTCTCTCGCTCGGTAATCTCCTTCTTTTTGAAAATGTGTCCTTTCTGTTTTCTTTTGCATCTGAGACCCTGTCAGTCATGTGGCACTGATTTCTGACTACTTTTCTCGTTCAAGGGAGCTGTTTTCCCCCTTGTAGGGCAAAAAGAAAGTTACCTGTATTGTATGTGTCATTTTCCCCCTCCCCCTCCTGAGGTCACTAGCAGCTTGAGGAAGGGGCCGTTTCAAGCAGGGGGAAAAGGAACAGGAGGAAGGTTCATTCTAGGGTTGCCAGTCTCAAGGGGTGGGGGGCTGTCAACTTCCTGGAATTATAACCAATCTCCAGACGACAGAGATCAGTTCCCCTGGAGAAAAAGGCTGCTTTGGAGGGTGAACTCTAGTGTTTCCCAACCTGGCACTGGCAACCCTAATTCATTCCCGGTGCCACAACCCTGGTCTAAATCAGAGCCCACCTCGTAGCTTTTTTGCGTTAAAAAATATTGGGTGAGCCAATCGCATGTCTCACACATGTAGCCAACTAACCCTCCACTTGGGAAAATGGTTTGAGATTATCCTGGGTTCTTCTGACTGCAGTCCCTCTTACTAATCCTGTTTAAAAGCTCAGTATGTTTGCAAAGGAATCTAACCAGTCAATCACATAATTCATGGATAGTCAGGCTTATGCAGTCCATCACGGAAAAGATTCCCAAACAACCACTTGTGACTGGTCTTCCATTTCTGATACAGATGTGCCTTTAATAGGGAGACATTCATGTTCAGCTAATAACACCATTAGTACATTTTCATGATCCATTCTTAAACACTTTGCCTTGTTCCTGACACAGTTGTGCTACCAAGATGTTCTTGTGCCTTTGGAAGAGATGCAGAATGAGTATAATTCTGATGTATGGAGCAACAGCCTGACTCCTCTAAACAAGTTTCTATGAGGCGCTCTCTCTCTCTGTCTCTGTCTCTCTCTCTCTCTCTCACTCTCTCTCTCTCACACACACACACAATGTGAATGATTTCCCTGTCTCCTACTTTCAGGGTAGTGTTGTAATTAATCCTATCGGCAGATATCCTTCCTTGAGCCAAAACGTTGTCCCTCTTGCTTGCCCCCACAATAATGGAAAGGGGCTTTTTGTGGCATGTTGCTTGCTACATATGAATTTTACAAGGTAGCTCTGTTTAAGGAGCTGGAGCATCTTTCCTATGAGGAAAGGCTAAAGAGTTTGGAACTTTTCAGTGTGGAAAAAAGTTGGGTGGGACATGACAGAGGTTTACTTCTGCCAAGATGTCTCATCCTATTATTGACATTGACTTACATTGTGAGGAAAGCAGATTATAAATAAATAAATAGAATAAAATACATAGAATAAAACAGCCAGTTTGGTGTAGTGGTTAGGAACGTGGACTCTGTTCTGGGAGAACCGGGTTTGATTCCCCACGCCTCCACTTGCACCTGCTGGTATTGTTCTCTCAGAGCAGTTCTCTCATGAGCAGTTTTTGAAAGAGCTCCCTCAGCCCCACGTGCCTCACAGGGTGTCTGTTGTGGGGAGGGGAAGGGAAAGGAGATTGTATGCCACTCTGAGACTCCGAGTGAAATCCAACCTCTTCTTCTTCTTCATTTCCAACCAACCTTGCCTCTAGTCAGGATTTGTTTTCAGTCTGTTTATTCTTCACCATTTAGGCTTGCCAGCCCCCAGGTCCACGTGGAGGAATCCCCCGATTTCAGGGGTTTCTCCCTGCCGTGAACCAGCTGGCTGGCAGGGGAAACCCTGCCCCTGAACAGGGACTTCACCATGTGATGTCCCCGACACAGTGATGTCACCTAGAAGTGACATGACCGCACTGGGGCCATCATGCAGGGATGCTCTGGTATTTGGGCAAACTCTGTGATTTGAGGGTGAAAAAACCATAGAGTTTGCCCAAGTGCCAGAGCATACCCCAGGCGATGTCCCCAATGCGATTACATCACTTCCAGATGATGTCATTGCATCAGGGACATTGTGTGATGTCCCCGCCCACCCCTGGATCACCCCCCAAATCCCCTCACTGGATCGAAGAGGGGACCTGGCAACCCCATCACCATGTGACCACAGCGGACAGAGAGGGTCAGACCCTCTACAGCATCACCAGGTGATTTGGATAAAGAAATATAAAATTAGGTGTCATCAGCGTATTGACAAAAACTCCAGAAACACAGATGATTTAGGTTTTAGGTTTGATTGGCAGGCCAAGAGTAGTGTGCATATATACACCAAAAGTAAAGATGTCTCTATCATACCACCTTCTGTCTGAAAAACAACTGCCAGTCTTCAGCCTGCATGTTTTTGTACTTTCTACTTCACTCAGCACTTAGAAGTTTTCAGAAGATGGTGAAGATCTTGGATGTGATCCCCTGTTAGATCAAGAGGGTTCTTAGAATGAGAGCTTTGTGGGCTGAGATTACAGCCTTGTTGATTTACTTTTAGACCCAGTGGATCTTCAAGAGGGACCTATATCTAAACATATTCTTCTTTTGGGGGGATGCTCATGGCAAAGAAGTTCCATGACACTTCCACCCTGCCCAATAAAAAATGCAAGAATCACACATCACACTACACTGAACAAGTTTATGTTTCGTTTTCGTCTTTAGTGTTTGTAAAACAGGCTTAAGAACATAAGAGAAGCCAATGTTGGATCAGGCCAATGGCCCATCCAGTCCAACATTGTGTCACACAGTGGCCAAAAACACCAGGTGCCATTAGGAGGTCCAGCAGTGGGGCCCTGGACACTGGAAGCCCTCCCTCTTTTGCCCCCCGCCCAAGCACCAAGAATTACAGTGCATCAGTTGCCCCAGGCTGAGATCCTATCACACCATTGCATATACACTGGACAGCCTCCATTGTAGTTTCTCTTAATGACATCTGGATTGCCCTTTCGTCTGCCCACCTACTCTGAGGTGACCTACTTTGAGGTCCCAGTCCACAGTATGAAAACCAGTGCTTTAGACTGTAATTTTTTCGATTCCTGTGATTTAAGTGGTTGATTCGTTTGTTTATAACTATTTGGGTGTAAGCTATGGTGTGGGGGAGCAAGGTTAAAATACCGCAGTCAGTGAACAGAGCAGACCCACCTGGGGGAGCTGTTTCCTGCACATGGATGGTGGGTGGTGGCACCTGTGAGCACAGATCCACTCTTCTGCATTTTCTGCTCTTTGCCTTTCTGTTTTTAACCCTTCTTTGCCCTTAATTCAACTCTAAGCCTTTCATCGATTTTCCATTCAGCAGAAGTGAAAAGGGGGGCAACAGTTCATTTCTTTAAAAGTACACCGTTCCTATTTTATAATTATAGGGGGGTTCTGGCAATGGCGTTTTATGGGTTTTTCATCAAAGGGAGTCCATGGCGATTGTAGGTCTCAGTGTGATGGCATCCGAGGGATATTTTTGTTTGCCTCTCAAAACTTTTTTAATTTGTCAAAACTCTAAGTAAAAGGTAAATTAACTTTTCTCCTCTTCCACAGAAGCCATAGTGCGTCTCAACATTCTTTTCCTAACAGATTCCCCCTGAGCAGTTGGAGTGTTTAGGAACATTCCATGACTCCGTATCAACACAGGTAGTGGGGGCATTGGGAAGCATGTCCAAGCAGGCTGGCAAATTATAGGTGACAGAGGGTTCATTCTATGATATCACAGCAGCTCAGCCAATGGCAAGTTCTTAGCCCAAGCCAACCAGGAACCTTATTATTGAACCACTCCCCAACATCATCCTCTTTTCTGTTTCTTTCTTTAGAGCGGCAGCGGCGTCTCCATCCCAGCCATGAAGATGGTCAACCCAGCATCGCGGCTGAAGCAAACGCAGCAGGGCAGCCCAGACAAAAGCAAACACATAAAGCAACGCATGGAATACATGCGCATCCAGGGACAGCAACAGGTAGTTTATCTCTAGGCAGTTGCTTTGCTCTGTCTTCGGAGCTCTGGGGGGTGGAGACAGGTGGAGTCAGCATCCCTCTGTATTTGTCTTGGGAGAGGGACAGATTGGTGTGGGGGAAGTGAACGAGAGAGGGAATGATCCCAGCTCCTAGGGAGAGGCAGGGCAAGGGGTTGGGGGAGAAGCCCTTTTTGTACTGGGAAGACCTTCGGGAACACACTCCGGTTTGCAGTGACGCTTTAGCTCTAGACAATGTGGCTGCAAGTGTGTCTGTTCCACTGGCCACAACAGGTACCCACAATTGGGAGTTCTTGTATGAAGGGAGGCATATTTGCATTGCACAGGTAACAGTGGAACTAGAGAAGAGAGACGGGGAGAACTCCTTTCCACGGGCATATACCAGCCAAATACTCATTTCACATGTCTGCAGCAAGGTGAGAATAGAGACAAGTTCTCTCACAAAGCTCCCTTGGCTGTCCTCTGTCTGCTACACTTGACTAAAGTTCCATGCCCGTACAACTTCCTTAGGAACTGCACCCCCTCCCGGGTTCCTCGATTTCACCGCTTGGAATCTACCACTCTGGCAATGTCCAGACTCTTCCCCTCCTCCTCTCTGGCCCAGTTATGACCATAAAGCAGAAAGCACTTGAATGCTCCCCTTAGAGGTTTGTTTTGTTTGGGGCAGATGAATAGATTTTTTTTATCCCCTGCCCCCTATGGAAAAAGATCTGTCCATCGAAGTACACCATCCAGCACATGAAATAGACCCTTTCCCCAGCCAGGAAAGCTGGCAATGAGCATTTGATGTCATGTGATCAAACCCATGCTCACTCCCCCATTTCACCACACCTCCATGTGCGTATGCCTCAATGCCTTCCCTACCCACGGCATACATGGGGAAAGCACTGCATGTTCAGCAGATGAAGCAGATAGGGATAGGCTGTGTTGCGGGAAGGGGGAAGGAAAAATTAGCTTGCTTAAATGCTCTGGAGAGGGCGGGGCTTGAGAAAACAGTAAACCCCTAAGAAGCCTGCCAAGGAGTTACAGGGGTTCTTGATGCACACGCGCAGCCCTTTGTATCCACAGAGTTGCTCGCTCCATTGAAAACAACAAGGCTGCTGCGCGTGGAGGACCTCGGGTGCACATCAGGAGCGTCCATGCGGCTCTGCGTTGGGGCCAAAGGGCCTAGCACCCTACCTTAGCAGTGCTGACTTCAAAAGGGGCATAGAAGTGACCAGGATAGGGGAAGAAGAATCATCCTGATGTCAGGTCCTAGCATACCCACTCATGGGATTGGGGGATAAAAGAAACCCAGTTGATGTGGAGGAAGGACCGCTCTTTACAACTGTGCAGTGAATCTCTTGCCTGGGAAATGAAAAGTAATTATAAGAGACACCCAGCAATTGTTATGGGGGGGGGGGAATTCTTCTCTTCCCCCCCCCCACCCCCAGCATGACATTAAGGTGTTATTTTAGTTCTTGACATCGATCTAGTAAATAACAACAGTAGTATTAATAATGATGATGATGACGACAGAAATCTTTTTAATATACATACATGCAGAAGATCCCCGGTTAAGTCCCTGGCAACTGCATTGAAAGGATTGCAAGTGATGGGAAAAGGCCACCCTCGAGGCTCCATCGACACACTACAAAACCCTCGTGTTTGCTGAGGAACAACGCAAGGACTTTGCGCTACACATTCGGTGGGGGTTTTGTGCCTTCCAGATGCACACCAGCTGTGTTTGTGACCAAAGCAGGCAGGCAGAAGCAGCTCCAACCTTTCCCTCCCCTGCTATTTTATTGTGTCCGCAAATTGCCCCTTGGCTCCGTTGTGAAGCTTTTGCATTGCCATGTATGTAAGTAATGTGATTTTTCACTTGGGATGCAAAGTTCTTGTGTTTTCCCTCAAGGAGTCTGTAATGTGTAGATGGAGCCTCAGAGCTGTTACTCCCATGGGGAAAGGCAAGGTGTTTCCTGGTGTTTGGGTGAGGAGCAAACCTGCCTGACGCTAAACAGCCTCTCACGGATAGGGATCCTCTCTGGGTCTTTGCAGGCCCTCTCTGCCTCAAGCTGAAAATACTGAAAATGCGTAAGCCCAAGTGAAATCAGTGGGAGTTATGCCCAAGAACTTCCAGTGCCACAATAATCAGAGATGCTCAAACACCTGCCAGTTTGGCTCACATTCTGACCTCCCAAGTTGCAAACAGAGCTCTGATTTTTTGACAATCGGTTTGATAGTTGTTGATCTCTTTATCAGTGTTTTGTTGTTTCATTATATTCCTTATCAGCTATGCAGTACTAATCTTAAACAGAGTTACACCCTTCTAAATCCAATGAGTAAAATGTGCAGAACTTCCTGGAGGACATGTAATTCTTGGATATTTGACTATTATTATTGCATATTTTCAGTATCATGTATCAGTTTATTATTACTATTATTATTCAGTTAAGTGTGTTCATATTCTGTCGGTTTCTGTAGGAGAGACAAATCCCAGAGGAATAACTGTGACTCCTGCAACCAAAACAACAGAAAGTCCCGTGACACCTGAAATACAGTCAGATTTTTCATGGCAGGATTTCTTGTTGGCTAGAGGTCACTTCTAGTCTCTCTAGTCCACAAAAAATGCCTGCCACAGTAAATCTCAGAGTGTTTAATGAGCTCTGTTGTTTTATGACTGAAAGAACATGCTTAGTTCCACACTGGGAAGTGCCCAATCCTGCCTCCACATTTTAAAAAAAATGTCATTTTAGAACCGTAGATGCAGAAGTAAATGCAAATGGGACACTGGGTGGGGATTCCTGTCCCACCTCACAAGAGAGATGGAAATTTCTTTCAGTACCTGTCCCCTGCTCCCTGCCCTGAAGAAGGCCTCCATGCATTAGCATTGGTTGAGGTCTTAATGGTTAGGCCCATACAGTTCAGCTGGGTTCACACCCTTCTGTGTTCTTGCTGATGCTGACAGTGTGCCCAGTGGCTGGCCAACCTTCTGAGGCCACAAAGCAAGGTAACAACAACTTCTCTACCTGTTCCTGCTTCCTCCCACACCTGTGTTCCCTGAGACTTGACCCTCCCTTTCCTTCCACAAACCCTGTTCCTCATCCACCCCTCTGGCACATTTGGTATGCTAGCTCATTTCCCAGAACTCCTTGCTCCTCCTGACTTTTTTTTTTTTTTTGTCATGCCAGAACTGTTTAGTGAATGGCAAAGACCATGGATGCCCCCTTATAAGTCTGTGTCTCAAAGTCGTTCACAGGACCCTTAGTTTTGCTCATTCTGTAGTACACAGAGACACAAATTGCAGCCGCTGCCCCTTCTCTCAAAGGGAAGGGGGACCGGGCAGAGAGCTGTGAGCTTGTCTCCACCCCCTTCTGCGGCTTTTTCAGTGTTATTTTGGAAAAAATGCTTTATGAGCAAAACTTAAAAATGTTAAACTCCAGTTTCTCCTGCACAACTCCTTTTACCCACCTCCTTGAACCTCAACTCTTAACTAAAGTCTGAACCCTTTTGCCATAAAGCACAGGTGCTGTTTCCCTAAATTTCCACCATGTAACATTTACTGAGGGGATGCTTCTTTCATGTGGTAGTTTCACAACAGCTTTGCATCTGAGTGCAGCTGTCCTGTTGGATCTCTCACCCACCTCTCTGAACTGGAGCAGAAAGAGAGATCAAGATGGCAGATCAGCTGAGGTGGTTGAACTAATGGAGATTCCACATGCGTGAGAGCTTTCTGTCAGTTGTGGTACGATGTAATTTTCAACCCTTCCCTTTGGTTCCTTTTTTCATTAAAATTGCAACAGTGGAAGGAGGAAGCACAGGTGAGATATTTGAATATATATTTGAATGATATATATTTGAATCACCAGACTAGTGGCCAATTCTGACATAAAAGTTTTCCTTCACTATGGAATATTCTTGGAGGAATGGGCATGAAGGATTGTGGAAGTTCGTTAAGAGCAGGTTGGATATCTACCGGTATTAGTTGGATTTGCTTGACTTCCCTAATATCACTTCCAGTGTTGTCTATCATTGGAGATGCACGAGGGTGACTGTTTGATAAAGATCCCTCCTTATCACCTACCAGTTGCATTGGGTTACCAGTTAATGCCCTTTCCCGCTCATTGGTCTTCAGTTCCCTAGCAGAAGCACCTTAGAGTTTAAGAACAACCACCAGGCAACTGGATTTCTGCCTCTTCTTGCTCACGTATCTTTCATGTAAAATCCACAAGGATTTTCCATTGCAAGCAACAGTATATAGTTGTTGTTGTTGTTTACGTGTATTGTCTTGTGGAGGAAAAAGCTATGTCTGAACCAGCCCCTAGGTGGGAGTTTTGGATTTTAAAAAAAGAACCCAACACTTGGTCAGTTGCTAAGATTGTTATCCAAAGTTCTCTCCAAATCACCTCTGAGAGAGGAGAGCCCGCTTGGAGTATTGATTCTATTTTGCTCTCACAAGCCTTTCTTCAGCTCCCTCTCTTCCCACCTGTTGGCACCTGTGATGCCAAAAGTGTTGCCATTTCATTTTTTTTTTAAATAGTCCCCTCCCTCCGTACCTGACCCAGTCTGGGGGCACAAACGCCAAGCAAAATTGCAGCCATCCGTCTCCCCAGCCACAAACAACGATCCCGTTTGGCTTCCCTCTGACAAAACAGCACCTCTGCTCTAGCCTGCATTCTGCCCCTTCCGCTCACCATACCCCGATTCCCCACTGCTCACCTCAGTGAAATGAATCTTGTTGTTCTAACATGGTGTCCATGGCCACACACACTAACATTTCAATTCTTCTCCCTCCCTCTTCCCCTGCCCTGCCCTCCCTTCCGTTGCCTGCCTACACGTTTGTCCGTCTGCCCCTCTGTCTCCCCCCCCCCAATCTTCTTTTGTCCTTTTTGCTCCCTCTGGGGGGAAAAAACGGCTCCTTCCCTATGTCCAGTAAATCCAGCTCATCTCATGCTCCATTTTGTTTTTAATTTATTTTTATTTTTTTGGCAAACGAACCTTTTGCCTCAGGCCTAGCCAATGCTACTGCGTCTAATAGATATTTTCCTAACTAGCCCTCCACTCTGTCTTTTTTTCTCTCTTTCTTTCTCTCTCTCTCTCTCCTTTGAGAAGAAAATGTTTGGTTTTCCCCCTGCCATTCTCCTTTTCCTCCTTCCTCCTTCTTCTTTTTCCCTGAATCTTGCTTTTCTTTCTAGGCCGCTAGATCAACCAAGGACCCTAGCACGATGAATGAGACTTCAAGCCCTGTCTCAGAAAAACCTTCTTCGGGCAGGACCTCCATCCCAGTACTGACTTCCTTTGGGTCACGGAACTCCTCCATTTCATTCTAAAAACTCTTTTTGCCAGTTTCTCATTTGGCTGTTTGACCACAACTGGGGGACAGCGGAGGGCTTGCGCCTGTCTTTCTGCTTTTCTCCTCCCCAGACCTTACTGAGGCATCTAGAAATGTCCCTCCCCTTAGACTCTCTAAGCTTCCTTCAGAACGGCCAACCTGCGGCCTCACGTCCTCCTCCAAAATGGCTGACCTACGGTCTCTCTTTCAGCTTCCCCCAAAAGGTCACTTTCTGTGTCCTAATGTGCTCCAGAATGACCACTTTACTGTTTCACATCTTTTCTCTGAAAATGACCCCGTCCTGGTTTGTTCTCCCCCCCACCCCCCGCTAAAATGTGGCCGACTCTCAAACTTCTGTTTCTCCCTCAGCCTCAGTCACCCGTCCCTTCCTCTTTCCTTCCACACCCCCAACCTTGTTTTTCTACTCTGGCAATTTTATGTTTTTTTATGTATAAAGAGCACTGCGAACTTTGCCACTTTCAAAGACTCCATGCAAGAAGGACTTTAGGCAGCTCTAGGCCTCACTATTCCCTGTTTCCAGGGGCTGAGGGCGGGGAAAGGAATCCTTTTCCGAAGCATCTAGAAAGGGGAGGGGGAGAAAACGGTTTCTGAAGACGCCTCAGAACCCCATGGACATTTGCTGCTATTCATCTTTCCTTACATTTAAAAAAATAGTTGTAATTAATTGATTAATGTGGATCCTTGTAGGTGTGTGCCGAATCATTCATGAATCGATAGTGTTTTGACTTTGGGGCATGTGTGTGCTTCCATTTTGTGGGTTTCTGTAGTTTACTTGCTGTATCAAAAGACTGTTTTGAAAGGGGGAGGTATTGTTTGCGGGTGCGTGTATCACAAGTTGATCTGTGTGTGTGTGTGTGTTTTTTTTCTTCCAAATCATTGGATTAAATTTGGAAGAAGAGCAAAGACTTGAAAAAAAGCACTGAATTTTAAGCCTGTAACTAATGCCCCCCTCCCCCAATCTTCTCAACCATGCAGAAGCAACCAACTGTTATGAAAGGGGGAAAGAGACTGTTATAAGAAGGGACACGACCAAAGTAGGTAGCAGAAAGTTGATTTGAACGATACTGGGAACAGGGTCCAGAAACAGAAAGTCATGCTTCCTATGAAATTACTCCGCATAATGTAGCACTTTAAATGTCCGTTCAATTACCGTATATGTGGGAGTGAGAGGAGCCCTCAAAATGTGTGGAATGACAAATAGGAGGCACAAGTCAGGGAGATGAGGGCATCAGGGTATCAAAGAAGTTGGGTAATAAGAGAAGGGCAGATTTACAGAGGACTGACGGAGGTAAAGTGGAGTTCTACCACGACTAAGTATGAGATTTTGGTGTGAGGGAGGTGGGTCAGGTCACAAAGAGGTGACTCCCCCTCGTTCGATAACTACGAGGTGAGGGTCCTTCATAACTGGAAGATGGGTCCTCCCATGGGAAGAAGTGATGTGGAGCTAAGAGATGTTGTTGGCATTGCAAGGATTCCATCCTAGACTGTGATGGACTCAGCTCTAGGAGAAGAAACCAGTAGGGTAATGGAATGAAGCCAAGAATTAACGAGCAAGTCCTTCTTTTCAGTACTAAGGGGACTTGCTCAAAAGAACATCCCTCTGTATTTTGTCTTGGAGTAGTGGATGGACTGGATCCAACTGATTGGCTCTTTAGTGGAGTGATCGGCTCAGAATTTGCCACCACTTGCCTAGGAAAGTCCACTTGGGACTTGAATAGAGAATTGAGCTTTAAGTCACCAGTGGGTTGAGTTCACTTTTCTTCTTGACCAATGGGATGTGGAAACTTTGCTAGTTTCCAAAAAGATTCTGCATGGAATTTGAGTTACAGAAAGCACAGAAAGAATTTTTTTTAAAAAAATTATAGCACAGTTATAATGGAGAGAAAATCATGGAGGGAAAGGATGTTAGATGTGGAAGAGACGGAGCTCCGAAACTCCATTGGGTTGAGCAAGCAAGGCAGAAAACAGTTTGTATCCATAGAAGATTTCTTCAAATAAAAGTACAATATGCATGTGCGTGTGTGGGGGGATGGCAGGCCGGGGACAGGAAGGCAGAACGTTCCTTGTGGAGTGATCGAAGGACACAGTCTGGTGCATGCATGTTTTCTGTGCAAACTCGGTTCGAAGTAAAATGAAGCATGCCCTTTCCCTCCAAGGAAAGGTGGTGGCATCCGAAGTCTTGCGGTTGTTTCGATAGAACTTACACAGGAGAAATTCCTCTGGGCTTCGGCCCCTAAAATGTTAAGCACAGACAATAACTTAAGAAATACCTTATGTGATGCGTGTGCACATTCGAGGATGCGCATTAACATGTATAGCAAAATGGCGCTTGATTGTAAAAAAAAATACAAAGATATGAAGAGTCTGTATGCAACATAATACAAGATGTAAACACTCCGTGTTTGGTTGACTAGCTTGTCCTTTTTAATTTAATTATTCTTGGAATTATTATTTTTTTGGTGGGGAATGAAGTATGGGAGTTTTCATTTTTTATGGGTTTTCTTCTTTTTTGTAAATCAATCATTTTTGTACAAAAAATTTTAAGAGAGCCTTTTTTTGAATAACAAAGTTTTAAAAAAAAGTTTTAAAAAAATTAAATATGTTAAAGATTCAGTAATGCAATTTCTTGGGATTGCACAAAATGAAAAAAAGAAAAACGAAACAGACAAAAAAAGCAACCTCTTTACATTTAGGTGAAGTGTCTTAACATTTTATATATTTGTTTTAAGAAATATATTTACATATTATATATATATAATATATGTAATATAAATATATATATAAATATTGAAAAAAAGAAAATGAAACTCTTGTTGTGTCTAGTATATTTAGAGGGGGGAGGGAGGAATGTTGTGCTGCTTCTTCCCTGATCAGATTATATATATGTAGCTCTTCGTGCTTTAGAAACTGTCAAGGTGGCGGTGGTGGTGGTGGTCACGCGAGTAGAACTAGAGGGGCACGATCCTTGGTGAAAACTCCTCCAGCATGGAACCCCGTTGGAACCAGAATGGCACCAGAGCACAGTGCTAGTTCTTTCAGTGGGGTCCGCGCAGGAGGAGAAGATTCCCCACGGGTTTGCCTTTAAGAATTTAACCCTTCCACTGAGCTGATATTCCATCTCTGACTCCACGTTTGTTTCAATATTGTCTGTCCCTTTCATACCCCCTCGCCTTTGTGTTATGGAAGGGGGCTTGCACTGCCCCACTTCCTCCATTCCATTTTTTTTCTTTCTTACACCTTTTCTGTTTGGTGGCAGAAAAGGACAGCCTGAGAAGACAGCAGCGGGTGGGGTTTTTAGCCTCTGATGGGCTTTGAAGTAGAGTCGCTTGGTTGGGAAATACCTGGAGATTTGGGGCACAGAGGTTTGGTGAGGGGAGGGACTCCATTGGGATATAACACCATAGAGCCCACCCACCCCAAGGTGACTGTTTTCTCCAGGTGAACTGATCTCTGTTGTCTGAAGATCAGTTGTAATCCCAGAAGATATTTGGCCACCACTTGGAGGAGGAGATTGAATTTATACCCCCCGCCCTTCACTACCCAAAGGTGTCTCAGAGCGGCTTACAAACTCCTTTCCCTTCCCCTCCCCACAACAGACACCCTGTGAGGGAGGTGGGGCTAAGAGAGCTCTGACAGAAACTGGTCTTTTTCAAGAACAGCTCTTATCAGAACTATGGCTTGCCCAAGGTCATCCAGCAGGTGCAAGTGGAGGAGTGGGGAATCAAACCTGGTTCTCCCAGATTAGAGTCTGCGCACTTAGCCACTACACCAAAACTGGCTCCCTTGGAGGTTTGTAACCCTAACTTTGAAGGCACTTCACCTTAAGCCCTTTCAGTTGTTAAGATTTCATTGTAAGTCAGTATGCACAATCAGAAACAGAAACCCTCTTTAAAAAGGTTTCCAGTTGTGTGTACAAGAGTAGAAAATACACAGCATTGCCTTGTTCACACAAAACGGTGACCACATGTATCACCCACAGAGCATTCTCCCAGTACACAATGTAGGAGCAGCAAAACGGAACCCCGAATGGGGCTCTCTGATCATTGTGGCTTTGGGCTCCAAAGGAACCTTGGGAACCATTGTTCTTATGGAGGGAACGGATCGAGGGAAAGAAATGCTGACAGACTTAGCAGCGCGTTCACAAAAACTACAGATCCCATAGTCCTTTGGAAGAAGCCTCAGCCGCTCACAGGGTGCGTTCAGACGGGGGCTTTACATCAGTATAGGTACCGGTTGCAATCGTTGTACTCACCGGCGTTCAGACAGGGAACATCTGCCTCCTGTCCCTAACCGGTGTAAAGCCCTTTACACTGTTGCACTCTGCCACGAGGTCCCAAGTGGTGGTATCCTGAGTGCAACGGTTGTAAACGCTGTACCTCGCCGTCTGATCGCTCTCCACCGGTGCCTAGCCATTTCCGTCGGAAGCCTGAGGCTTCCGTTTCCCCCCCACCATTTTTTTTAAAAAAACTGAGCGATATGCACTTGGGCGAAGCTTCGCCCTGAGCGTTTGTTTAAAAAAAGCCCTTACTTTAACTATCCGGAGGAGTCCGGGACTTAAGGGAGGCCAGTTTGGGCTTTAAACTTTAAAGGTAAGTCCTTACCTTTAAAGTTTAAATGTAATGGGGGGGTTGAGCATGCGCAAAGATCGCCATTCTGTGAATGGCTGCCTATGCGTATGCTCAAACTGTGTTTAAAAAAAAGAAGAAGAAAAAACGCCGACGGCCGCAGCGTGTGACCAGGCATACAATGATGGGATCCGCAAAATGGAGGTAAGTGTGATCGCGTTTATGCCGGCAGAAAGGCCCCGTCTGAACGCACCCAAAGTGGGATACAGCTGGCTGTTTCGTTATTTAATGGTGAACTGGCCAAATCAAATTGTTGAAATGGCCCCATGCTTTTAGGCAACAAACTTTCCCTTGAAATGAAAAGAAATGAAGCTGAGGCTCTCTTAGGTCATCTTTGGCAGAATTTAGCATT